AGCTATTTCACATCTGGGAGTGTTTGAAGAGCTCAAAGAAATAAACTGTGAAAAACAAAGCCCCATTCTTAAGTCCTCAAGCTTTGCTTCCTAAATGTTTGCCCATTTTTTAAATTATGTTGGTACCGTTTCAAAACTAATCAGACACTTCAGAACAAAGCATTTATCTGGGGACAGTTTTGTGCTGCAAACATATATAAGGTAACAACGGGCTCCAGTACAAAGCAAGAAAAACAAAATTCCTTTTTTTTCATATGGGTGTGAATCGTTGCCTAAGCCTTCAGGCTCAACTCATAAGGTACAGAGAGAAGAGATCTGCAAGACTGCTAGTGCTAATGTGAGGAACCCCCCCAGCTATGGCCAGGAAAGCCTCCCTACTGCCAATGGGACCAAGCAGCTAAAAGGACTTGTGTTTTAAGCCAAAATTATCATGGGAGGATCCATACAATCCATTCACTGTAAGTTTGTATAATATGCACAGCAGTGACACTCTAGTTCAAAAAGTGCAAGTAACAACTAATAGAAATTTAACAGAGTCTTACAGTGGAGAGGGGCTCCTATTTAGAATTGATTTTACATGCTATTCCCACAGAGTCTTTTGGCGCAGTCATTCCAAACATCTATCAATTAAACTGTAATTCTCGTGTTTAAGCACTAGAGGGTCAACTGGAGATGAAAACAGAGGCTTACCTCAGTTTTCTTATTTTTACAGGTAAGTATTTAATGTCTTACTTATCTCTTCAGCTGTCATGAAATTTTTTTGCTAGCTGAAGCTACTTCTGAGGCCATGCAGCACAGGGATGGAAGAGTTATGGCACACATGCAACTACCATCAATAATTTTAAACTATGTAGGTCACAGCAAAACCATGACTGCTTTTGCTGGCCAGCTGCTGTGCATACACCTTTCCAAAGGGATCAGTGGGGTTGTCTGGAAGTTATCTCTTGCAACTGTCAATGACAGAAGAGCGATGAGGTAGCCCATAGTCCATTTTCAGAAATACTCATCCAGTGCATATACAGCAACTTCTTTTCATGTCTAATTATCATCTCTTTGAATAATACACGAATTGCAAATATTGTCCGTTTAAATCAAAGGAATCTTCAGCACCACCTGGAATTGCACTCATGCCGAACAAGTACTGAGGTGGCACCAGAAAGGAGTACACAGTCCACAGGGCAGAAATCAAGCTCACTAGAACACAGCCTTTCAA